ACTGTGTTTCCACTGTTAAAACAATTAAACAGGGAAGCCACAGATTCAGTTGGCTTTAAGGTCTCGGAAACCTCTGTAAGCAAACCACAACTTAATTGGCATCAATGCACTGGAAAGGGAGAAAATCAACTTAAGAACAAACAATTGGAGTCAAGTAGGCCTTCCGAAAATAAGGCAACAGCATGGGGGATAGCCAATCACATACCACCTCCCCACCACCTCTCCATAAAACCCTCACTGCTACCTCCTACAGGTGGGGCAAGCGTAACCGTTTGAAAAGACAAACCAACTGGCCTGACTTACTCTGGGAAATCTGAACATATATCATCTCATCTCTGAAGATCACACAGTACCTACCACCAGTCACTTCGACCAGTTTCTCAAGTGGCCTAAACTCCTGACGCACGTTGCAGGCCAGCAGAAGACAGTGCGACAGGTTTCCCCAACAGCCCACTTTTGCACATGCGCACAACACACCAATGCGATTCTGCCCTCACTTCCCCAGCCCTCACCCTTGGCAATGGCTTCCCAGAGCGCCTGCGCAGGTATAGTCGCCCAATAAGGGCTGCACATGCGCACAGAGGGTTTGTGGGGGGCACACTGCTTCTCTATGGGCCCCAACGTGCAGTCGTGTGCTCCTCCCTAACCAGCCGAGGGGTTTCCTGAATCTCATTTCAACTGAGCCCACATACCCGAGTTCAAGTTCAGGCAAGCTAGGACCAGAGTGTATGGACAGACCAGTCCTCCTTCTGGCCAGTGTTACTGTTACAACCCAGAGTTTCTGCTGCCCTCTCCTGTTTCTCCTTTCCTGTTGACGCCTGTGCACACTGAAAACAGAGGTGAACCCCTCAAGGTCCTGAGTCTGTCATCTGCCACAGTGCAGAGGATCCCAGAAGAGACGGGGATCAGGGACTGGACATCCAGGATCACCTGTGAAACATGAATGCAAGTGGCACCCGTCAATCCCACCAGCGGACCTTCTGACGCCCCCGGATTCCCGTTGCATATTTGGTCCTAACATTATGTGGACAGAGCTCAGGGCCCAGAAATTTCATCGGGCATAGTCCCTCTGCCTAAATGGGGATTACAGAGACTAACAGAGAATTGTCCATTAAGATTCCGTGGAAAATAACCTCAGACCACAAAACTGCCCTCCACAGCTCCACTGTCGGTCCCCGTGCCTCCCTTCTCAGAACAGCTCAGAGAACACAGTTCCTGGCAGCCCCATGTGGGTGGCCCCAACTGGCATTCACACTTTCCTGAAGCTCAGACTCAGACAAAGCACAGCAAAAACTTAAAATTTGGAGAGGAAGTTTCACCTTTCTGGTTAAAACACTGCTTCCAGGGGTGCCTGGGTGGCTCAGTGGGTTAAGCCTCTGCCTTCCGCTTGGGTCATGATCTCAGGGTCCTGGGATCGAGCCCCACGTTGGGCTCTCTGCTCAGCAGGGAGCCTGCTCCCCCACCCCCACTGCCTCTCTGCCTACTTGTGATCTCTCTCTGTCAAATAAATGAATAAAATCTTAAAAAAAAAAAAAAAGAAAGAAAAAAGAAAAACCTGCTTCCAAGGTAGCACGTAGCATCCCACCTTCCATTCCTAGGATGTCCACTCATAGTCCACACATTAAAATGAACCAAATACATAAATGCAAATGATTGATGTATCAAATTTCATTCAGAGCCTCTAATCCACCCTTCCTTCTTGTCTCCCAGACTGCTCTCATACCTATGTGCCATCACACCCAACATTATTTTTAAGGTTAATGATCATGAAAAAGAAGAGAAAGAGTCTCTACTCCCAAGAAGGCATGCCCAACACCCAAATCCCTCTGGAAAGAGTGATCATATAGTATCCAATTCCCAGGGCTTTAGAATGATCAACATGCATATTCTAAGATTCCCAGCACAGTGTCCTGGGCCCAGTGCATCCTCTAGTCACACACCCAGACATCCTATACCTGGAGCACATAGTAGCTGCTCAATAAACATTCCTTTCATGAATGAGCACATATTATTCATATAAAACAACCTTGTGCAGACAACACAACTTTATCTAGTCCCTTCCTAACTTGTATGGGATGAGCAGAAAAGGTCATCTTTCCAGAAGCTGTTAGTAGTCATCACTGAGAAAGACAGTATTTGTGTTGAGAGAGAACAGTTTGGAATAAGGGACTCAGATGTGCTCTTCTCCTTTCTCTAACATAAAGCTAGTGGACATGAAGTCTGGGGACAGCAACCTCAATGACTGGAAAACACACACTAATGGGCTTCATCCACTTCTAGGGAGTCATGATATCAGAGTATGGGGCCCCAGAATCTATTTTTAATGGGAACCTCAACTGCTTTGTAGATACATACAATTCTGACAATGGTTGAAAAGTCATTCTCAGCTGTGTCTTCATGTTGGGATCTCCTGTGTAGGTTTTAGAACTACCATGTCTAGTGTCCCAACCACAAAGATTCTGTCACCTAGTCCTTGATAGGGCCTAGCATCAATTAGGTCTTAGTGAAGTGCCGCAACATGTTCTACTGTGAGGCCAATGTAACCACTGAGGCTCCCAGGTACATTTCTGAGGACAGAGCACAGAGTCTGGTCAATGGGGAAGCCTCCATACAGGGGCTACTCTATCTAAGATTTCATAGGGGAGGGTGAGTCTCCCCAACATTTCTGATTTTGTACCAAACTTTGTGTGTGCCTGCAGGAGACAAATGCACCCAAAAAATTAGAGAGGAGTAAATCACATTGGGGCCTCCAGTTTGAAACCACCTATGCATACAGATTTTCACATGCTTCCACAAACAATGGAATAGAAATCAGATCACATAAACCCTTAGTGGCCATGGGGAGACTTTTGGATTTCCCTGTGAATGCCACGGAAGACACCAGAACAGGAGGTGAGTCCTTCAAGGATGTAAGAGCATGTGACGAGTGAGATGGGAGCTATCCCTCTGTGACCACGAGAGAATTAAACCTTCCAGACTCATCCTGTTCAAGCAGAGCATCTCAAACCACATTTTAAGCTCAAGTTTTCTCTTTTGAGCTTTGGCCCCTACCTATGTCATCTGCTTCATTCATTCCCACCTACCTGAGTGTGTGGCTACTGTCTCCTTTCTCCTCATGTGCTGGGGCTCTTTACTTTTCCAGAGAAGATGACCAGATCCAGACTACAGACAGCAAGACCTATTGACAAGAAAAAGAAGCATGACTCTTCCTGGAGAATCTACAATTTCAAATCCAGCACTATGCTCAGTAGGGAAGAGAGCACATTACAGAAGCCTGTAGAAATTTACTTCTCCAAACACTGTTTCCTGATGGCCTCTTTAGAATACTTAGGAAGTATTTTCAATGTTCAGCTCCTTAACACCACTTCCAAGTACTGCTGAATCAGAAATAAAGACTGGATATTTGATTTTAATATGTGAGCAATGATATTTTATGCCAGTTGGTTTCTAGAATTATCCCTACTCTAGAGTGAAGTTTACAGATAACCTCAGGGAATGGTAAGGCTGAAATCAAAATAAAACATCGTGAATACTTCCTTCCTCACACCAACAAATCTTATTATTTCAAAGAAGTAATCTGCTGACTTACACCACAGAATTTTAAGACATTTGAATATACAGTAATTCCACAGTAGTTTCATTCTGCTGAAAATAGAAACGTAATAAAGGAGAGCGTATCTGTGACACTGTGCAGAATTAAACGGAAACTAATGAAACCAAAGACCATTTAGTACCTTTATTTGCAAAGACCAAGATCTCCTCCTGTAAAGAAAAGTGACAGCCCACATTTTCCAGGGGAATTTAGCAGAGAGACCCTGAGCCAAGAACGAAGTTAATATCAGATGAAACAAGACAAACTGGGATCAGTGGCTGGATGCACGTAGGACTCCTCACTGTAGTGATAAAATTTACAAAACAAAGAATTGTATTATGATTCTAATCATGAAAATATAGCAGTTTTATGAAATTTCAAGTCAGAGATAGCTCCCACATCCTATAATCTTTCATGTATTTCAAATACTAAGTCTTTCGTTAAAGCAACCTAGACAGCGAGGCTTTCTTTTTCAGGACATTGACTTATTTGGGGCCTGATAGCCATCTGGATTATCCGTTCACGTTCATTCAGTTTACACAGACTCAGGCCACACCCAGGCAGAATCTAAATATTAAGTATTTCCTCCTTCATTGGGATTCCTGACAAATCTCCAGTGAGGATCATGGGTATCAACATAGCCCCATGTTGATCTGCCGCAGAGGGAATATTTTCAATAGTTGCAGGTCATGAATTCACGGAGGGGATTCATGTAGCACAGAAAGCCCAGTTGGAGAGAATGGAGAGACAGCCCCAGGAAAGGGACTATCCTGAAGGGCTGACTTTGACTATCCTTAAATGGATACATAGTCGTCCAAAAACCTACTGGCTCCGCAGGACCACCAGAACTAGAGAAGTGAATGCTTGCCAGTTCTAAACAGACTGTCTTTCAGTAAGAAAGGAAGACACCGCTCCTGAGCTCATCAGGACAAGATTTACCTGGGAAGCAGCCATTTCTTCCTCTCCCTTCTGGGCTACGTGTCTTTCTCAGGTGATATGTAAAGAAAGGCCTTGGCACAGCCTCTTCACCCACTATCAGCAGCTCAAGGCCAAGAATCTCAAAATGCACAAAAAGCCACCCTCTCCTTTGCCACAGAAGATTCAGAAAAAAAAGAGCTTTCACTTGGACATTTGCATGTGCGCTTCTCCTTCCTTGGTTTCAGATGTCCTCGCCTCCCACAGACAGCCACAAATCCTGCCACAGCACGGGGAGCATGGGCTGCCTGACCTACCCCTTCCAACTGCAGACGAACAGACTGTTACCTTGTCCCCAAGCCACAACGGTGAAGGTCAGGGTAAACGGATCTGGCCAACTGAGCACCTGCTCACCAGGGCTGCTTTTAACTCTGGCAAAGTGGATATTGTTGCCATTAATAACCCATTTATTGATCCGAACTACATGGCCTACATATTCCGTATGACTCCACCCACGGCAAATTTCACGGCATAGTCAAGGCTGAGAACAGGAAACTTGTCATCAATGGAAACCCCATTTCCATCTTCCAGGCGTGAGCTCCCGCCAACATTGAACAGGGCGATGCTGGTCCTCAGTATGTCGCTGCGTCCATCGGGGTCTTCACCACCTTGGAGATGGCCGGGGTTTACTTGAACGGTGGGCCCAAGTGGGTCATCATCTCTGCCCCTTCTGCTGATGCCCCCATGTTTGTGATAGGCATGAACCATGAGGAATAGGACAACTCCCTCAAGATTGTCAGCAATGCCTCCTGCACCACAGTTTGGCCCCTCTGGCAAAGGTCATCCATGACAACTTTGGCATCACGGAAGGACTCAGGACCACAGGTCATGCCACCACAGCTATCCAGACGACCATGGACCACCTCTCTGGGAAGTTGTGGTTTGATGGCTGAGGGGTTGCCCAGTACGTTATCCATGGTTCTACCAGAATTGCAAGGACATCCCTGCGGTGAATGGGAAGCACACGGGCATGGGTTCAGTGTCCCCACCCCAATGTGTCATCTGACCTGCCACCTGCAGAAAGTTGTGAAATATGATGACATCAAGAAGGTAGTGAAGCAGGCATCAGGTGGCCCTGTCAAGGGCATCCTCAGCTACACTGAGCACCAAGTCTTCTCCTGCAACATTCACAGGGACACCCACTCTTCTACATTTGATTCTGGGGCTGGCATTGCTCCCAAAGATCAGTTTGTGAAGCTCATTTCCTGGTATGACAATGAACTTGGCTACAGTGACTGCAGCCAAACCTCATGGTCCACATGGCCTCCAAGGACTAAGAGCCCCTGGACCACCAGCCTGAACAAGAGCGAGAGGAAGAGAGAGGCAGCCAGGCAGTGCTTGCCCCCAAGTCATCCCCCAACACACTGAGAATCTCCTGACCTCCAGTTACCATCGCAGAACCCCTGAAGCGGGGGGTGGGTCAGGGGGGTGGGACTCAGGGAGCCCTACCTTATCATGTACCAGAATAAAGAATACTGTAACCACGGGGGAAAAAAAAGTTTTTATATGTTAAGAATGAAATTTGGATGAATGGAAAAATACAGAAAGGAAGGATAGATCAGTAGTTCAGGGAGTTTTCATTCTTGTATTCACATTTTAGGATAGAAAATGTTCGACTTTATAAGTAAATGCCAGTTTTCCTGTACTTTATCCACACTCATCAACGGTGTATGATCATTTTAATTCCTCCACATTGGTGTTAACAATTTTATTTTTTCCTCAAATTTAGTCATTCTAGAAATAGAAAGTGTCATCTCCTTGTAGTTTTTCTGTTTTCTAGGAGTGGTTAAAGAAAATAGGAAATATATGCATTATATATTTAAGATATAAAATACATATATCATATTATGTATCATAAATAATACATAGGATATATGTATGCAACTTTCAGTCTTAAAAAAGGAAGAAAGACATCTTCCCATTTTAGACAAAGCAGGTGAGCCTGGAGGGCATTATTGTGAGTGGAACAAGCCACACAAAGCGGGAAATACTGCTTTGTCTCGATTATATCTGGATCTAATAAAGTTGAACTCCTAAAAGCAGAGTAAAAGTGTGATTGCAGGACATGGCTGAGGGTGAAGTGGGAGATGTTGGCCAAACGGTACAAAATTTCAGTTACACGGGGGCGCCTGGGTGGCTCAGTGGGTTAAGCCTCTGCCTTCAGCTCAGGTCATGATCCCAGCGTCCCAGGATCGAGCCCCACATCGGGCTCTCTGCTCAGCAGGGAGCCTGCTTCCCCCCTCTCTCTGCCTGACTCTCTGCCTACTTGTGATCTCTCTCTCTCTGTCAAATAAATAAATAAATAAAATCTTAAAAAAAAAATTAAAGAATCAGAAATCAAAAAACCCTAGCACTATGAGGAGATAATGTTAATGAGCTAGATTGTTTTAATCATGTCATAATGTACACACAGATCTATGTTCTGTTACTTGAGCAATTACTGAATCTGCAGGAATGGAAAACAAGGTTCTAGGTGAAAGGCCAGTGAAGTACACGATTAAATAATAAAAAACAGAGGGCGCCTGGGTGGCTCAGTGGGTTCAAGCCTCTGACTTCAGTTCAGGTCATGATCCCAGGGTTCTGGGATCAAGCCCTGCATCAGGCTCTCTGCTAAGTGGGGAGCTTGCTTCCTCCTCTCTCTGCCTGCCTCTCTGCTTACTTGTGATCTCTGTCAAATAAATAAATAAATAAAAATCTAAAAAATAATAATAATAATAATGAACAGAAATGAAGGCACCAAAATACATAGTCCTTTGGCCCCATTTATCAGAGTCTGGGTTTTGGTCCAGAGCACCAGCCCTGGAGAGATCAAAGGAAGAGGCCCCAGAATCTGATTTCCTTTAAGCTGTCCTGGGAAGGAAGGAGATCTGAAGCCAGGCCAGACCTCGCAGCCTCAGCAGGGAGCGGATCTGGTTTGGGCTAGGGAGGGAGACTGTGATCTCCCTGCCTCTGGGGTACATCAAGGCCTGTCATTCCCAAGCCCTCCCAAAGAATTCCACACCCAGAGTTCATATGGTTTGAATCTATTTAGTCTCGTTCCTACTTCAGAAAATAAAACAAAAAGCAACTTAACATAAACACTTAGCATTTTCGGGGCAACTATTAGAAAACTTTTTATTCTTCACAAGAATGCAAAATAAATGCTACTGCTACTAAAGTGTCTAGCCCATGGATGGCCCATCAAAGGTGACACCAGAACTCACACCCCACCTGAAGCAAAGTACCGCTGCTTCCTCACATCGACTCCACAATCCTGAATTCAACCATGCACTCATGTGCTCTGAAAATTTCTGGATGTTATGGGTCATGACTCTTCATCGGTTTTTTTAATGACTGACTGCCACCAAAGCAATCAGTTTCTCTCTGTTTGCATCTCTACACCTGCTCAGTGCTCTTTAACCACAGAACGGACTCCCATCCGAGCACCACAGTGGAGAGTTCTTCTATGGAGGGAGGAGAGGACCCTGGATGACTCATTCCTCTTTCTCTGAGATGGAAACATCTTCAAATTCTACAGTCTACATAGGACATCCCTATATGTTCCAAAGAGTCCCTGATACTGGAGAGTATGTCCCCAGTGAGACTGAGCTGATGCCTCCACGCGGATCTAGGTAGGGGAAACCTTAAGCTGAGTCTGGGCCATCACATAGGGCCCAGACCAGTCCCGGTGGGCAGTGTCCTCTCATGCAGGTGTGATGTATCCTGTCCCTGAGCAGGGCTCCCTGGAGTAAGAAGCCTCAACTCTGTTTACATAGCTTACAGGCAACTGTACTTGTGGTCATGATTCTAGATTTGTTGTGGGTCTTAACCTTTCACTGTTAAAGGATCTTCCCTGCTGAGGTTGCAGTAATGCAGGACCTAGTGTGGCAAGTTTTAAGCCTGTGCTTCTGACAACTTAGAGATCTGGCGTTGATCATGAGGAGCGTCGGTTTGTTGAAGCACAATCAAACATGTTAACCTTCTTTGTGGAACTGTCTTCAGAACCCTGTGCCCAGGTGTGCGTTAGGAACACATGGTATCTTCTATTGAAAGATACACATTCAAATGTATTTTGAGTATCTCTGCTTTGTTTCAGGAGAAACTGCTTCATTCGTGATTGGACTCTGACCTTACTACTGGAGCAATTAGTACAACATGATTCTATGGATAATTACACAATTACAAAAGGATTCATTATGCAGCTGTAATTGATTATTACTGAAACAGATTCTCTGTTATTCACAAATTTTACCTACAATGTGACTGGCTCGTAATTGTACATGACACCCTGTGAGGCATGAATATATAAATGACTGACATGGAGGAAAACAGACTACATTTTCTCATGAGATGAGGAAGTTCTGTGACTCCTCCAGGATACAGAGAAGGACATGGACACACAGTGGTCATCACCCAAGAGAATAAAGGGGCGGGCAGGTGGGAAACATGCACTGATCAAGGTCAAGTTGCTCACTTGCTACCAGGGAATCTAATGAAAAAGAGAAAAATTACTATGATGGCAGAGAGGGTATAAAAAGTTACAAAGGTGCTTTCCAGGACAAGCATGCTTGGGGTCGCAGCTGTCCTCTCAGAGAGGATCTAGGTGTGATATTGTTCCTGTGAAGGTGTTGGCCCCTAGCCTTGTGCATGCACAGAGCAACAACCGTAATGAATCCTACACACAACATCTTAGGTACATCTGAATGCTGCCCAGATTATGTCTATGGGTTTATCACAAAATCTTGAACAGGTACCAGTATCTATAGTCTTTGTGCTGTATCTTACGTATTTATCTTCTTGTAACACACATACATAGTAACTGTGGCATTTGCCAGCTCCTGTGAGTTCCAGCGGAGGATACTGGAAGGCCTAATACAATGTAAGACTTTTGTTCCTTAATATTTTGCTCACCTGGAGTTCTGGGACTGATGGCGGCCTGAAGACAAGGACCCAGAGTTGCCAGGACACACCCCCAGACGCTCTGTGAAACTAGAAATATGTCTGGGTCCAACATCACAGACAAAATATTTCAAACTGAAAGCTGCCAAGGTGTCTGGGACAGCACCAAAAAGAAAGAACGGTCATGGCTACATTCAGATGACTGAGGAAAAGCCTCTCAAACCTGTCCTGTTTTTACTGCAGTAAAGGGAAATAAGGATGACGTAAGACGTAGAACTCCCTCAGGTTTCCAGGGAAAATCTGGACCACGAAGATCATTCCCACTATCAGATTCTCAGCTGCCATTTTCAGGGTTCAAATGTTTATTTTCTTTTTCTCTCTTTTTTTTTTTTTTTAAGATTTTATTTTATTTATTTGACTGAGAGAGAGACCGCGAGAGAGGGAACACCAGCAGGGGAAGTGGAAGAGGGAGAAGCAGGCTTCCTGCTGAGCAGGGAGCCCGATGCAGGACTCGATTCCAGGACCCTGAGACAACGACCAGAGCCAAAGGCAGATGCTTAACCAATTGAGCCACCCAGGTGCCTCAAATATTTACTATCAAAAACACGGAAAGCAGCATGGAAACAAGAGTTCTGGGCCCTATTTTCCATGAAAAATGAAATCCACAAAATTCACCAACATCTAAAGTAATTCTATAGTGTTTACGGTGTATGGCCCAGTTACTAATGCT